TAGATAAAAGGAGAGAAGAGGGATGAAGAGGAGGAATATGGGGTTGGGGAGGAGTTTGGGATGGGAGAGAGGGAATGAGAGCGGTGGAAAAGACAGAAACAGACCACCTCAAAGTAATGAGAGAGGGAGTGAGGAGATAGAAGGAAAGAAGGTGGAGAAAGAAACAGAGAGACCACCCCACAGTGAACACCAGAGGGAAGGCTGCACATTTTAACGTCTATTTCTCTCCCAGCTCAGCTCCCCTTAGACCAACACTGAGGCTGGAGTCGCTCTTACTGCCAAGTCATCCCTCACTCTGCCCTTATGTATGTGTGTGTGTGTGTGTGTGTGTGTGTGTGTGTGTGTGTGTGTGCATACTCGGTCATGACAGGGGCCCCCAGAACGCCAGTAAACTATGGCTGTGCTCCGCTTATTGCTTTCAACTGAGAAAAGCACAAAAACTTTATATAATCCAAGATGATGCAACCGTGTGTGTGTGTGTGTGTGTGTGTGTAGGTGTGTGTGTGTGCGAGTGTGTGTGTGTGTGTGTGTGTGCGACTGTGTGTGTGTCAGACGAATCTCACTTACTCTGAACGGAGTCAAAACAATCCTCTCTACTATTAACACAACAAGGAAACATACATTTCCCCACTGAAAGCCACATTGCCGTCACTATGAATGGAGCTATGTTGAGTGAAACAATGCCCTCTCTCTGTGGAAATAACACACAGCGTGTTGTGCGTGACTGGGGGCTTTTTTTTTTCATCCTGATAGTCCATAGATCTGCGCATGATAAGAAACCACTGCGGTTTTATAAGGTAAACATGACGAAAACCCTTTTAACCTTTATCAACAGGCCTCCTAAAGTTCCCCTTTTTCAGCCAGAATTAAACATTCAGCTCAAATCCAATAAGGGAACTTTGTATAGGGTGCAGTAAATTAAGTTAGGAGAAGGAGCCTATGTGTTTGAATGAGCTGTGCTGGTCTTTGATAAAGCGCCCATGTTTATATTTGTAAAGCGGGGCCACTGTGATATTGTCTGGTATGTGGAGAGTTATAAGAGGCTTGTGTTTAACTCAATCTGCAAGATAAACAGCCTCGGGCAGGAGAGCTGAGAGGATTCATATAAGTGTGTTTTCTTCTTCCTTAAAGTCTCCTCTTCTTCTTTTTCTCACTGCTCTTTATCAGCTTGTTCGTTTTTGACTCTTCGTCATTATCCGGCCTCTCTGCTCATGCTCGTGCTCCGGTCCCTGCATCTGACAAGTATTAGTGAACTCAGTGGGCATTTTGTGGAGGTGAATGCGGCGGCTCGTGGTCCAGCTGGGGGTCGCCGCTTTCTGGGGACGGGGTCACTTTGAGAGGTCACAGGTCGGGACTGGTGGGTGCAGTTGGTACCGACCTCAGGGAACGCGTGTGAGTGAATGCTCATTATGTTGGTAGGCTGCTGGGCCAATTGTGAATCCATCCTGATTTCCTCTCTCTCTTTCCCTGCTTGCTTGAACAGTAAAGCACACTCTATAGAGCATCAAAATGTCTCTCCAGTCATGGATTTAACCTCTTAAAAGTTATCTCTTTGTATCTACATTACATATTTAGAAATTATGTCTGTGGAAAATAATCCCCTCCTGACTTAAAATGGCTTGGATCTAACTCTCCACTCACTTGCTTTAGAATGTTCAGATATATGAAGTCCCGACCAGAAAGCCCCAGTCTGTAAAATGATAGGATTGGTTCTTTGTGTTTATTATATATGAAACCCTGGTTGTCTCAGACTGTATCTTGAAGGTGGAAAGGCCTAGCAATGACATTGTCTGCTTTTTTTTTCTTCTCATAATGTGTCTTCTAACACATAAAAAGCACCATATGGACATGCTAACGAGGTAAACAAAAAGAAAAAAAACTGGTTTTCGGAGAGGGTCTTTAATATCTGTGTGAAATGCTCTCGTTATTAATCCACAAAAATGCTCACTACATGAGGAAAGCAAAATGATTTGAGCTAAAAACCGTGTTGCTCACAATGGCCAGATTTCTTTTAATGCTCACAAATGACACAGAAGTTCAAGCCTTTAATCCTTAGTATGTAGTTTTCATAATGTAACTCAGGAGCATCTTCACTGGACCTCCCTGCCTCCCAGATGGCTGATTCTTTCAACCCATAGTCCAGAACCTGCATGGTATTATTGGGGTTCTGTTTCTAACTTTGGAAATCCTCCTCTGGAAACATTATGCAACACTATTATTACTTGTGACAGGTAAACTGAATTTTAATCAGCAAAAATTGGCGGGATTCTCCTTTAAAATGACACAATTTGACCTAAGTCATCATGTATTTAATCCTATCATCCATTCACCATACATGAAATCATTTTGTGTATTTCTGTCATTGTATAATATAATAGATACACAATAAGGATAAAATCCTAATGACAGCAAGTCTTTTGAAATAGTTGCTGATTTTCAGACTCCTCTTGGACAGCATAGATGTATACGTGTGTCTCTGTGGTCCTTGTTTCCATAAAGCATCACACCCAAATCTGGATGATCAGCTGGACTCCACCCTCATCCCCACACTGACTAATGGACGACAGGGAGGTCAGAGATTTGTTATCAAAACACAGCCGCAATTTAAATTAAAAGAAAAACAAGTTTTATAATAAATCTATAATTTTTTTTTACAGCAAAAACACATTAGAAACTATGCTCTGCTTGGGTCAGTACACTGAAGTATTCCAACACTGACAAGCAGCAGAGATGAAGGCTCTGAGTGATATGCAAAGCAGGATTTCATTTCACTTCAGAGAATGTCCTCAGGTATGATTATCTTGATTTGAGCCGCAGAGCACCAGAGACTCTAGTTCACACACACATGCATACATACACTTACACCTACACACATACACACTAACTGCCTCAGGTTGAGATGAAACACAGATAATTAGCTCTAATGGAAACCAGACTTGCAAATCAAGTCCCTCTCTCCCCCCTCTGTCTGTCTCAGCTGGACTTCCTCTCCCCGCCTTGTCTTTTTGTGGTGTTGAGGGTTAATGTAAACCAGGGCTTGTTACCCCGTAATGGGGAACTTCAGAGGGAGATGGAAGTGAGGGAGACACAATGCTGAAAGAAGAAAAAACAGACAGGTAGACCTCTGTTAGAGCGCTTAAACAACCAAACAAACTACAGCCCTGGCTCGCGTTCGAAGCACAAGAGTCAGAAATCTATGTTTAGAAAGATTTACAGCTCCTGGATTTATTAAAATACACACAGGCCTGCACCTTTGGCTTTTAGATCAGTTTAAGGACTCTGAGTCCAAAGCAAGAAGATATAAACTGTGATTAATGAGCAGAAGAGAGAGTGTGTGTGTCACTCATCAAAGAGTCTATAAATCATCGCACACTTAAAACTAGAGAGCCGGATTCCTTCACACTGATAACAAGCGGTCATCCCATTACTTTCAAACATCAAAGGGGGGCAGGAGCTGAGTTGCAGGAGCCCTCTTCCCCCTCTTTCTCTTTCCCTCTCTCTCTTTCTGTGGAATGTATTTCCCTGTTTGGTAGGCGTGAGAAATCTCCCCGTGTGTGTGTATAACCTATATGTGTTTGTGTGCGTGTGTGTGTTTCGAAGCCTCAGAGGTGACATTCCTCCGTGTCAGAGCAACAGCCTCAAGTTTAAGATAACACGGCCACGGTGATCTAAGGGTGGGAATCGATTCCCCCCGGCGGCTGGCGAGGGCCGCAGGTCAGAGCTGATGGCTTTACCTTCCGCACGCAACCCGTGATGCAAAAACACAGTAATGCTCCCATAATCATCTCTTAACAACCCTGTGGAGAGATGTGGAGCTCCCTATAGTGAGTCTGCACTGAGCCCACTATCTTTCATCTCTGATTGGTCCATCTGATATCACCATGGCACTCTTGTAATAATCTTACTGGAGCTTTGTTTTATGTGAAACATAGTAGCATTGATTCATTTATTCAGGACTCTTAAATTTACAAAGATAAGGGTTCAGACGAGCAAAGGCACCGATATACTTCCCGTGTAGTTTTCTTGTCTTAATGCAATCTAGTCCATCCTCCCTTGACTACATCTAAGGAGAAATATTAGCCCATGTATTTCTTTTTTATGCATCTTTCAAGAAGATTTATTTTCTTCAGGTTGATATTCAAGTAATAATTGATTTCTATACAAAGCTGAATGTCCCTAATTCAGAAACCATTATATCGTTATGTGGACAGAGTTTTTGTAGCATGACCTGAATTCATCTTCATTTCTGTGCAAAACTAGCCAATGGAAATTGAGAGTTGTATTTTTTTAAATCATTGAGAAAATTCAAAAAGAACTTAATCATGTGCAGTGATTGCTTTCTGCTACAGCTACATGAAGATGTAATTGTGTAAACCCAGTTGTTTTGGACTCATATAAGACTGTAAGACTTACTTTGAGAATGCATGGTGTTTAAACGTGGATAATCACTTCTTTTTCACCAGAGTCTCTGGCTATATACAATTACACGGCCTATCCAGTTTGCATTATGACCCGTATCCACCCCATTTATCTGTCAAGACTCTTGGGGTATTGCTGCTGCTGCAGCACCTGCAGGAGACTCCCATGCTGACCTGTGGCTCAGAGGACATCTGGGAATATCATGCATGCCTCCCACAGCTCCAAATTCACCATGTTCAAACAGACCACCAGCTAATTATGGCTTTCCCAGATCCCTGAGCTCATGAAATCACTACAGAATAAGCCACCGGTATGAGATGTTTTCTTTTGCCCCCTCCACTGTGGTTTACTTAACTGGGGATTCACCAAAAACCAATGAAAATAAACTCTCTGCACAGGCGCAAAGCACTGACACCATGAGAAATGAGTTTGTTTCAAAAAAATCTCAGGTATTTACAACAACTTTAGTGTGCAGAAATGCACAACCCCAAACTTCATCTTATGGTTATGAAACTAGCTATTTAATGCAGCATCGTTCTAGTGCTTGATTGAATATCCCAGCAATTAAGAGGAATCAAAGATACCTTCTTCTTTTTTATTGAGCATGTTACCAAATATTTACAGCACTCAAAACACACAGACTCTAGATCCGTTCAGGGTTCTGTGATATCCCAAAAATAAATAACTTTTATTTGAGAAGGGGAAAGAATTTCAAACCTGTGTAGAAAAATAAATACAAAATACTTCATTTTCTGTGAAACACTGTCACAGGGAATGTGGAATGACTTGTCATTTTTCTCTCGTGTTTCAAAACAGAGCAGTTTGTCAGAGCTCCTTTTGTTTTTACAACATTCATAGTCGCAGTGGTCTTTCTTCATATCCGTCCTGTCTGTCCTAAGTGCTCCCTTGCAAACATTACAGTCCATGCAAAGGGAAATATGAAAAGGCTGCTTTCCTCTGAGGCCTGAAGCACAGCGGCTGAGCCTGGGCCTCAGCTGTGTTTGGCCAGTAGAAGGGTTGGCCTGATCCACTGGTTCCTCAGTGTGGGTAATCTGTGAAAGCAAAAACATTTTGGTTAAAAGAGATCCAACACATAGAAATACATCTTAATGCATGTGTAGGCTATAGGTGGAGGGATGTAACCTCGTTGTGACCTGAGGTGGGCAATAAAGCCATGTTTTCAGGTGGGAAATACTTTGGCTGTTTCCCTTGCAGCTATATAGCATAATATGGGAATCTCGCATGACTGTTTTACCAATAACATGCCTAATTTGAGTTTCTGCAGCCTCTAAGGGCACGTCCACATCATTTTCATAGCCAAAATCAACAGGCTTAATGAATAGTAGAAGAGGTTTGGGGAGGCATACAAGTATTGCAGCCAGACTATTCCTATTGGAACATAAGAGCTGAGATATTAGATTTTTCATTTGGGGGCTGTGCGTAAAAGGCGCACAGGACCAGTTTGGCACCGTTCCTATCCCTGCAGGATAAAAAATGAAAGGAGCTCAGCCTACCGTGCTGTCCCATCAGCAACAGCAGCAGTCTTGGTCCTGCTAGTGGGACGTCGTGGACAAGGACCACGATCCCCCCATCCTCCAGACCGAGAACGCGTAGCTCAGCCGCTCGTGCGCCACGTAGCTGCAGCTGGTCCCTCGCGCGTCCAGCTCGTCGCTCTGCAGAACTTGGCACAGGAAGTCTATGTACCGGGCCGCCAACTTTAGCGTCTGGATCTTGCTGAGTTTGTCCGACGGGAGTGTGGGAATGATTTTACGTAACGACGTGAACGCCTCGTTGAGGGACTGCGTCCGTTGCCTCTCGCGGATGTTGGCCATCACGCGTTGCGTCTGTAGGTCATCGAAGGAGCGCGCGGGGCTGCTGCTGGCCTCGCTGTCGCCGCTCCCGGTGCTGCCTCCTCCTCCTCCGCCACCTCCTCCTCCTCCATCGCAGCTCTTTCTGCATTTCTTCTTCCCGGGGCTGGGAATTTCCACGTCTCCCTCCTCCTCTTCGTCGGTGCTCCTCCGTGCTTGCCGCCGCTTCCTCGCGCCTCTCCGCGGCAGCTGACGGTCGGTCTCCTCCTCGCTGTTTCCAGCGCTGTCCATTGGGGGGGAGTCGTCTTCCCGCATCGTCTTTTTCAAAAAACTTTTCTGCGGCCTGTAAGACCGTTACAACCCCTGACCCAAATCCACTGAAGTGGTTACAACATCAACAAACACGGCAGGTAAAAAATGAGCGCGGCCTGTAGTGAGCTGTGGGCTGGTATTACGGTAAATGTCGTGCGCCACGGAGAGGGAGAGGTGTCTGCCAGACTGGGACGACCCGAGCTCTTATAGCGGGGAGCGGGCAGGAGGATTTTGGGGAGCGCTGTGATTGGGTGAGGAGGGGTGTAATATAATACTGCAGGAGAAGGAGAGTGCTACTTATAATATTAGGAATAGCGTTTAAGACATGGGGCTCCTTTACACAAGATTGGAAGGATGGAGTAGTAGAATTCTTTCTCTCTGCTCCACCCAAACTTATTTCTGATCCAAACGCGCAATGCAGTTTTTCCCCTCTTGGATTTATTGCAAAATAAACAGAGCAAGTGGGATTTCTTTTTGCAAGGAATTAGACTACCTCGTTTCATGTTCAGGGTCATTTTTGCGCACAGTGTTAAGTGGTGTTTTGCTGCAGTTCTCCTATGCAATTATGTATTTTGTTCGTTATACTTTGGTTCCTAAACTCACATTTTACTGTCCAGAGACTAGAAACAAAAGTTTATAAGTTTTTTCCCAAGTTTTTTGTAAAGTTGCCATCATACTATGTCATCGTGCGTGTAAATTGCACTCGCGTTTTCTGATTTTCTATTGCAAACAACTTAAAAACACAACAGAAGTTCCTGCACAAGTCAGTTGGGCCTGCAGCTTCCCTGTGCAGGTTTAGACGCCCGGGATGGGAGCAGTGGTGGCGGTGAAAAACATCAGACCCACTGAAACACAGGAGGTTGTCACAGCAGGAGGTCGCTGCTCGTATAAGCAGACCAAGGTGTTTATTTTCCCGTCAGCGGCCCCGCATTGAGGTATGCACTTAAATGGGTCTGACTCCCGCAGGGATCTCGGCACCGCGGCTCAGGTTTAAAAGGCGGCCCGTCCCAGGGAGCTCTCAGGGCGGATCCGTGCTCACAGCGGGGTCGCTGAAGGCGGTGTACGGGCTGGAGCGCAATGCAAATACTGGAGGTGATAAAGATGGACCGAGGAGAGACAGAAGGACGGAGCTGCTCGCACACACAGAGCCTGAAACACGCACACATGACCACCCAGCTCTGGGGTCTACCGCTAGATAATCACAATCCAGCAGAAATGTGGCTGAAACTAGATCAGGCAACTTTTGGAGGTGGTCTGCGGTCTGAATTACACACCGACAGGCCTCACCTCTGTGGGGGGAGGATGATACACAAGCAGGCCCGCTTCATTCACTTGTTATAGGGAGGCACCGCCACAAGCGCCTTTCGGGCCTGGATCAACCTGTACATCTCTGTCTTTCATCCTGCAATCCAGAAAATCTGGCGCTCTTTCACTAAGTTTACCTCTAGGGAGCTTCTCTCACCTCCACCACATCAATTTACACCTCAGTGCCAAAGATAATCCCCAGCTTCATGCAGCGAGTCTTGGGTTTACGATTCAAATCTGCTGCATTTTAAAGTCGTTTGTTGATAAGGCCTGTAAGAGCAAATAAACGCTACTTAAAGCTTAAGCTGCCCTTGTTGCCACACCTGTTCAGTTTCTGCAGCAGGCCAGGTGAGGCGAGCGACCGTGGAACTCTCCAAGGTGCTGAAAGCCACACAGAGCGCAGCATCCCCTGTAAAAAAAAAACAAACTTGATCCTATAACTTCTATTAAAGGTTGCATTCCAGGTCACTAATTTAAACATATATGCCTTTAAAACAGTATTGGGTGCAGCCATCTAAATACTAAAAAAAACACATTTAGGTCATGAAACTGCGCGTAAAATATGCAAAATTGGTTCTATCAATAGATCAAATAGCATTGTTTTATATGACATTATATTGGAAATTAAAGGAGGCATACATGACCTTAGGATTTAGGTTTATTTTTAAGCAACAGTAAGTCATATATTAAATGAAATATCTGAAGGCGTTTCTCTTGGTTTGTTTGTGTCAGATCAAATAAATATGTCAGGTTGTCATTGCAACAAAAGTTGTGTCGAGTCTTATTTCTTAAAAGCTTTCAGTCTTGTGGTTTGATTTGCGTAAAAGGTCAGTAGTTTGAATGAAGGTGATGATTGGCTGCTGAAAGTCATCTCTCATCTATTCATTCATTTCTGTCATTGCTGAAACAAGTAGCGGATCCAATGTGGGTCAGTCTCCATGAAATAAGCTTCATATCGGTCCTCAGGTGTTCTCCAGCAGGTCCGTCATGAAGGAGATGTAGACGATGGCGAGGCGCAGCGTCTCGATGCGGGACAGTCTCTTCTCGTAGGCGAATGTAGGGACTTTTCTCCTCAGTTCATCAAACGCCTCATTCAGGCTAAACATCCGCTTTCTTTCCCGCACGTTGGCCGCCTGCCGCTGGACCACGGTGATGATCCTCCTCCGTTTGGACCTGCTGTGTCCGTGCGTCCCGCGGCTGTAGTACCTCGGGGAGCCCATCACCAGATGCTCGGTGCGCACACCGTCCTCCAGGTCTCTGCTCCAGGAGGAGTTGTTCGGGCTGGTTGCGGCGTCATCCACCTGCTGTTTAGGTCCGAAAGCATACTTTGGAGGGAACTCCATCAGGTTCATATCGCTCACAAAATTGATTAAGGTGGAGTCCACTAAGCTGCCTTGCATCTCCATATTCAGTCCCCAACTGCAGCTTCACGCAAATATGTCACTTTTATACGTCTGGTATTCAGTCAAGCGCAAAAACGGACTCCAATCGCAGCTCTCAAGCTGGTTGAAATCGCTCACTAAACACAGAGACCAAAGCAGAAGAGCATCCCAACAAGTAAATCCAACTTTCTCCAAATCCGGTCAGTGCGCAACAGGGTGAGATCCTATTTGGCTCAAGTCCAAGGACCTGTTCCTGCTGTTTTAATAAGTCGCCTTTACCACCTCGCAGCGCGACATCTTTCATCTCCCCTCCAGCTCTAAATTGAGTCCATTTCTGCCGTTAGTCGGCCGGTGAGTGGGTTTAGTGAGGCTTAAAAAGGCCGAGAGGAAGCCGGAGGGCCCTGCCAATTGATGTGCTGTCTTTCTGGAGGCCCTTAATGAGCTGCTGAAGAACGGAGGCTCTTGACAGAGGGTCATACAGTCTTGTTTGCACTCTCCCCTCTGCCTCAGAGGCTAAATAATGACACTTTTATCACTTAAACCGGCCAGGGGAAGACCAAATAGAACATTCCCTAACAGTCACTACACACCACAAGCTTTTCTGTTGCAAATTAAAGCAAATAACTGTCCGTTCCCATGGCAGGACAGTGTCCACACTGCAGGGAGAGCCGCTGGTACAACTGTGGACTGTAATCCTCTACAGAGAGTGCCTGATCACTATAATTACAAAAAATTGCTGAGTGGTTTTGTACCATCATATTCATGTTTTACACACAACAGGTCATTTGGAAGAAATGTGACTTTGCCAGTGTTGGGACTTTTCTGCACATTTTACTGTTAGAACTTACAGCAGTTGGCTTCTATTGATTATGATGCTTTTTGGAAAAGTGTAAAAACTCATGTATATCTGATCATTGTGTCCAGGTACTGCGCCCAAAAAACTGGGAAGAGGTTACAGTGTTTGGAAAAACTTGTCTTCCTGTTGAGGTTACATGGAGGGTTACATGAATAATACACTGAACAACAAAATTCCTTTCCTTTTACACACATTGTTACACCGTTTTTTTATGATTTTTTTTGTACCCAATGTAATTCTTACCTCAGGATGACCAAAAACACAGATCTGCTGGTTAACTAAACTGCCAGTAGGAAGCACCTTTTATACAAGAAATGAGACTTATTCTGTTGAATGTGTTTACAGCCCACTCACATGCTGATTCATTATTCCAGAGGCATAAAAAAATGTATCTTCAGCCTTTCGTATCTGGATTATATAACTAATCATAATAATCACATAAAGGCGGATTAAGCCACACTAATAATTTTCATTTGGTTTGTTCTTTTGGGGAAGGTAGTGGAATGTTAGATCCCAAAAAAGCACCTCTGAAATACCAGAGATTTGCATTTTATCTAACAAGTAGGTTGACAGGCATCAGCAGGAATGGAGCAGTTCTAAAATGATGTGGATGCACCTACAGACATCTTCAAATTTATTCATACCCTCTCATTAAAGAAGGAAAAAAACAGCTGTCACTGAAACAACCTGACAAAAGTAATAATAAATAAAAATTTTATGAAATCATGACATTGCCTTTGAATTGTGGTTTAACAGAAATATAAAAAAAATAAATTAAAAAAACAAACAAACAAAAAACCCCTAAACAGGCATGATGGGACCCGTAGACTTTGAGCCAATCACTGCAATCAAGTGTTTTCTGTAACTCTCAATCAGACTTCTGCACCTGTTGACAGGTATTTGGATTTTGGCCCACTGCTCATCAGCAAAGTGCTCTACTTTGTCCAGAGCAGTTTTTTTTTTCTTTTCTTTTTTTAAAATTATTCTTTTCAACCACAATTCAAAAGCAATGTTTCATTTCAATAAATTGTAATTTATCAAATTTTTATTTATTATTACTTTTTTCAGTTTCTAGTTATTTGAGTGACTGTTGTGAATTTTGCATTTTCTTTAATGGAATAAATTTGAGGACAATTGTATAGTGGACCCTGTGCAAAGCAGACATTCTGACATACTAGAATAAGCCACAATACAGCAGTTGTGATGCTAACAAACTTCCACCTTGTTTCCTATTTTGCTGCTGGTTAACATACTACATCAAGAAAACACCAACTGCTCTGTCTTTTTTGCTATTTTAAGCGCCTCACGCATTCCTGCGCTGAATATTCCATATACACAAGAGTGTGAATGTATGAGTGTCTGCTTTGTATACACACACCGACCTCAGCGTATCTTCTCCATCTTCCTCTGCTGCTTCTTCTTCCTCCTCTCGCTCTCTGTTTTCCTGGCAGGCAGATAAACATGATGGGACATTCCGGCAGTTGTCGTGGAAACGCTGAGAAAGCACAGCTGGGCGGGAGAATATGAGGTAATCTCACCCTGGGGCTGCTTAGTAAATATTGGTCTTAAATAAGGAGTAAAACCCCAAAAGAGGCACGCAAACACACACATGCACGGCGACGCATACACACACCTACAGGGGTTTATCCCAATTTAGTTTGAGTCAGGAGGACAGACCTTCACACAGACACTCATAATGGCCCATTTCCTGCTCTGCTCTGTTATTACTAGTTACACAGAGTGAAATTAATGACGGTCTTGTGGTGTGACTAAATGTTTATGGATGTAAACAGTGGAGGTTTGACAGATACAAACTCAGCGTGAATCCGAACCCTTGTCGGAAAGCGTTCGAAAGGTGTTTTTTAGTTTAGAATTTGAGTGAATCAAATTATCAAAATACAGCACTTCAGTTGATAAATTGGTTGGGCATTAACTTACAGCACATGGCACAAACTGGGTATTGGGCCCATAAATCAACATAAAGTAAACGTGAGTGTGCATCTTGAAAGATGGTGTCGTTAATGTCACATGATTGAAGCCGATTAAAAAAAACAGATTTTTATGTGTTTTTATACTGAAGTGGGTGTCATTTATTAGCTTTGATTACCAGAGAACAGCATGTGTCCAGTGTGCTGCTCCAGAGCGTCCATAGCTGTTCTCACCATGTAAATCTGTCTTCCTGCTCCTCCTCTGGATGTGTCCTCAGTGTGCTGTAAGAGCACAGCCAAATCTCGCCCACTACCACTGTAAATCTGAAATTGGACACTTTTCTCTCTCTCTCTTGCTCTGGTTCTTTCCTTCTCTCTCCTTGATGCTGACTCCTCCTCAGATTTTTTTTCTTTTCCTGCTGAAATGTTTCTCTCCACATCTCTTCTCACTTTCGGTGCTTGTTTTCTCCGCGGTGATCTCATGTATGTACAGAACATACTTCACAACGGTCGCTTTTTCTGCAAATGATAAAAGTCAGACGGTTATTGCAGATGTACCAAGACCTTGCATGCATGGAAGAATAATTACACTGTAAACCTGCAAACTACACTTTTCTGCAATGCTGCGCTTAACTTGCAGCAAATTTGAATATGAGAGGGAGGGAGTCACGGGGAGACAAAGGGAGACGGAGGGAGTAAGGAAGATGTGTTTAACTCCTGACCTATCTGCCTCTTCTTCATTGTGTCACTCTGACTCTCTCCTCTTCCCCTCTTCCTCTCTCCGCACCCTGCAGCTGACTCATTGGCTCGCTCGTCCCACCTTCCGCTACATCTTGCCCCCCGATTGGCCGCGCGCTTTCAGCCAGCAGCCAGTTGTGGGCTGTTTACACAGCTGGGTGACCATGTGAAAGATAGGCCTCATGCCTTGGACAAACTCCAATACCACATCATATATCTTCTCAGTTGCTCCTCCTCTCTGAATAACTCCAGTTTCTGTTAATCCAACCTCACTGAAAATCTCACCACGTGGCTCCCTCCACCCACCCTCGCCCATGTCAGCACCTTTCCTTCGCCGCCCCCCCCCCTCTCTGTCTGAGTAATGTCTGTGTTTATTTTCTAAAAGAGGGTCGCCCACTCTTTACTGTGTATTTTTAGGGTGCCATGTTTCATTTGTTTAAAGAGTCATATTCTCAACTCTGGTGTCCGCGAAGATGTCCGAGTTGCCTGGGAGACTGATGCCACCCTCTGAGGATGATGATGATGATGATGATGAAGACAGGGGTAGCATATCAAAAGCACTGTCTGGGTTTGTTTGTGTGTAAATCATTCCTTTCTACACTGAGAAAGGTTTACATATGATTGTGTTGCGCCCATTAGATTTTTCTACTCAACACAGTGCCAGAAATGAACAAAGCAAGAACAAAATGAGCTGTAAAACATGGACAGCGCCTAAGAGGAATGTCACCACTTCTCACACCAATGAATACAATGTTTAACTTCCCAGCTGCTAAAACTGCAGGCAGAGCTGGAAGAAGACCTGCATTAGCAAAAAACCCAGAGTAACAACAGCATCTAATGGATTACCAGCCAGTTTCATCTTCTATCTTAAACATGGTTAAACAATAAATTTGGGATTCTGCTTCACATTGTGGCAGTAAGAAGTGATCTATAGCCTTTCTATTTCCTATTTTAGAATAATCTGTACCCATCAATCCATTATCTATACACCACTTAATCCTCACTTGAGTCGCACGGGGGGCTGGAGTCTATCCCAGCTGACTTAGGGTGAAGGCAGAGGACACCATGGACAGGTCACCAGTCTATCACAGGGCTACACTTAGAGACAGACAACCAAGCACACTCACATTCACATCTATGGACAATTTAGAATCACCTCAACATATTTTTTGACTGCGGGAGGAAGCCGGAGAACCTGGAGAGAACATGCAAACTCCACGCAGAAAGATCCCGGGTGTCCTCACCGGGATGTGAACCGGCGACCTTCTTGCTGCGAGGCGACGATGCTAACCACTGATCCACCTTGCAGCCCATAATCTGTACCCTCAGGCGTACATATACAGTGAGCTTAAGATGTTACAAAATAAGGGTAGAAGCTTTTGGTGCAAAAAAAGAGCAACATGAGCATTTAGTAGGCCTACTCAGAAACAGGACTCTTGTGTTATTGT